AGTAAGGGTTTTTTTATATTTAAAAATCTGTCTGACACTGAAAATCTGTTGTATTGTAAAATTCGTTATATCAAAATCCGTTGTAGAAAGAGTTGACTGTATCTCATCAATTTCTGATTTACTCTTGTTTTTAATTTTATTCCATTATTTTGTAGTTTCGTGACAAACATTATCTTGGTTAGGGATACCATTTTCAGTTTTAACCATAATACTATACACATAAGCATTGGTGAATTCTTGAAACTTATTTGATGGTGAATTATAGATCAGTTTCTTATTAAACTTAGGGCTAAATAAGAAGGTTTGACAACTCATTTTAACACTAGAAGTAGAATATTGACTTGTTTGTTTTATAAAAAGCTTTTAAAACAATTTTTTAGTACATGATTTTTTAGAACACAATTTTTAAAACACAATTTTTTTAGAACATGATTTTTAGAATACAATTTTTTAGAACGTGATTTTTAGAACATTTTTTGAAGTACGATTTTCTAATTTTAGAACAGATTTTTGAATGAATTTAGAACTTAGGATTTTAAAACACTTGAAATTTTTTATTTAAATGTTTTTTTTTAATACATTTAACGATAAAAAAATTTAATTTATTATAATTTTATTTTTTGAATGTATTTGATATATTTTACTACAACTGATATATGGAGTTACCAGGAATAATCTTCTCTGATTACTTCATGTAATTTATCTAAGTTCCTTTGCTGCAGTAAGTAATTTCCTTATCATCGGACTTTACAACCTTAGGGAATCTTACATCCTACAGGTATCTGAAATGCCTTGGAATTACTTCACTTGGTTTACGAACTTAAGGGTTTAGGGACTTAGAAAATTTAGAGAATTTATTTATTTTAAGTGATGAACTCAATCGCAAGTTAGTGTAGTGGTTCACAGTCAAATCCTAGATGATAGACACGTAGAAGGAAAAAGTATTTTTGTTTTAAAGTTGATTCCTTTATTACTTGAACTTATAATAAAATTGAAACTCACAATAGAGTTTTAAAACTTGCAAAAGAGTTAATTTACAACTTGAGCAAAAAGCTATTCTATTTATATAAAATAAATTTGCTTTGGCTAACTAATTGCTACGCTATAAACTAACTAAATTTGTAAATATAAATGTTAAAACAATGATTATAATATATATA